TCTTGAGCTGGGGACTGTCGGACCCTGTCATCTGGCTGACTGTTGGTGACCTGCCTTGCTGTTTGCTGCCTGTGCCCGGACAGCCTGAATTGCTCTACAGAGGACTACCCGGAGGCCCTCAAGACTTGAAGGACTGCCAGTGTCTCACGCTGTCTCACCAGAGTGAGTTACACTGAGCCATTTGTACTGCCTTATAATTTAATGAACTGTTTATTTCTTATGCTATATATCTATCTGTACATATATATAAAATTATTAGCATGCTGGTTTTGTTTCTCTAGCGAACCCTAACACAGGGAGGGCCCTGGACCAATCTTGTAAGCTCCTCTGTCTACCAAAATGTATTTGTCCCAATCACAGCCCCGTCCCCACTCTGTTCATCCCACCTGTAATGACAAAGTATTGACCTGGCACCAACCAGGCATTTGTGAGTCTTCCTTGAACACCCCCTACAACCAGCCCCCATGTCCCTATTAAAGCTCTGTATCTCAGCAAACCCTTGGACACTAATGGTTTCCCTCCTTTGGAGGATATGTCTAGTTGTTTATTTTGTCCTTATCCCGTTTCGGAGTTAATACCGGTTCTCTTAAAATAAATACATGGGAGATAGATAGATAGATAGATAGATAGATAGATAGATAGATAGATAGATAGATAAATGGAATTTAAACAAGTAAAAGTAAGATCTGTGAGAAATGGGGAGGGCAGGATTATCCAAAACCGAAACTCAAAAGGCATCAGGGAAGAGTGGTGTCCCAATCCAGGGGTCACAGGCAACATCAAGGACCAAATGTGTAGACCTAGTGGAGTGGAAAACTCCTACGCTCTGTAAACATTCCCTGAAAGGACAATGAAAAACCGAAAGCCACCGCCAACATTATCAACTAATGATAAACAATGAACTCAACTTGGCAAGTGATTCCAGGTTGGAATCCAAGCAGAGGAAGACACAGACAGCCTGGTGAAAAAGCAATTGGGCCAGAGCACTAACAGACCACACAGGGATCCCAGCCTCCTTGACCTCGAGATCAGAGAAAGTAGATGGTGCCCAGCTACCAGTACCAACTGCTCCCCAGGAATCACATTGCAAAGGTGCTGGAATGGATGAGAGGAAAACATGGACCTGACGCCGTC